CCCCCCCTTCACCCCCTCTCCGCCTCTCCTCATCAGCCTGGAGCATGCCCCACAGACCCCACGGCCTTACCTGGTTCAGGCGTGTGCTGAGTTGCTGCATACGCTGTCGAGCCGGTTGCGGGGGGGGTCCATGGTGTGCGGGGGGGCCCTCGCGCTTGAGTTGGACGTGCTCTCCCCATCCGGGGCGGCCTAGCTTCTTCCTCTTCTCTATCAACTCCTCCTTCTCCGCTTGTGTCCGCGGCCCGAAGGGCCACGGAGGGACGAACTCCTCCCCCCCCTCGGAAGGCTCAGCTGAACTTTTTGCTGCTGAAGACATGAGTCACTGCTCAAGTAGGAACACTTTCTCGAAGGAAACAACGACGAAACTGAGGGGAAGAAAAAAGTCGAGACTGAGGCACCCAAACCCTGTAGGTTTCCAAACCCTTCCCCTTTTTATCCCTTTCTACAAGGTGCAGCCACACTCTCGTGTGCAGCCACGTACACGCCTTCCGCAATGTTTGGATCTATCTCTGTTCCTCGTCTGCTTGTGTTGTTCTTGTGTGCAGATCTGCACAGCCAAGTATTGATGAGGCGCCTTGGTGGTGCTCTTCGGCCGCTGCCTCTCAGCCCTTCATCTCCTTCATCGCCACCAGTGTGCCCTCCTCCGCTTTTGGTGAGGCAATGGGCTCCATCTCCGTTTCCGCCACCTGGAGCCGCATCGATATCGAGATGGCCACAGACACAGCAGATGGCCTCTTGCCGCTCCCCCGCCACCACCCTCATTCCTCCGTCGCCCTCTGACAGCCCCATCAGCAGTGATCCATCCAACTGGCAGCGCAGTCTCGGCGGCATCCGTCGCTTCAGCACGCGCAATTTGCACGGGCGGCTGTTTTACAAGCGGCGTCCGAAGATGGTGCCCAAGTTCCTGCCGCGCAACTGGCGTGTCAAGTGGCTGGAGGGCGCGCCCAATAAGAAAGGCGTGTGCGTCAAGGTGTACGTGACGACGCCCAAGAAGCCCAACAGTGGCCTTCGTAAGGTGGCGCGGGTCAAGCTGTCGACTGGCAAGACGGTGACGGTGCACATCCCGGGCATCGGGCACAACCTCAACGTGCACTCGGTGGTGCTGGTGAGGGGCGGGCGGCTGCAGGACGTCCCGGGCGTCAACTACAAGGTCGTCAGGGGCAAGTATGACTGCCTGCCCGTCAAGAACCGAAAATCAAAACGATCCAAGTAAGGCAGACACAGAGGCAGACGCACGGAAAGGCCCCCGAACACACACCCGCCGGCTGCTCTCCGTGCCGCTGTGTGCTCTCAGGTACGGTGTGAAGTTGCCAGCTGATAGGAAGCAGTGGCGCATCGACCGCCTCAACAAGAAGTGGCTGACGACGGCCAAGGACCGGGAGCGCTTCAATCAGTTCAAGTGGTTCAACTACCGCCATCCCGACGGCACACGGATGCTGGAGCCGCTCAAGGAGGGCGAGGAGGTGCCGCCCGTGCCGTGGTTTAATTTCAAATACCGGTGTGTGATGATGCAAAATGCTGGCACCCGGGACGGTGCGTGATTCTTTGTTTGTTGTGTGCAGGGAATACTTGAGGAAGAAGGAGGCCGGCGCCAAGACATGAATGACAAGGGTGGGCTGGCTATGGCTGGCTGCTGCCTGTCGACATGCATGCGTGGAAGTGTGTGCATTGATTGAGTGAGTGCTTCTGACTGATGCCTCACTTCACTTGGGTGTGTGATTGTGACAAGATTCTTCACACATCAATTGGTGGCTTCGATACGTGTGTACAGACGATCGCCAGTGAGTGAACGTTACTCAATCGTGCATCTGTACACAGCTGTACACGTTAGCACAGTGATCGATCGATCTGCTCACAGAAGAAAAAAGCAAAGCAAAGCAACACGTCTCTCTCTCTGTCGAATCGCTCTCATTTGCCGTGTGTTCGGCGCTGATTGATTGATCCATCGGCACGACTCACTCATCCATCGAGTGAGTGACTCATCGCCCACCCCACTGCCTGTGTCTCTGTGCGCCGGCTCACTCTCTGCCTCCGAGTGACTGTCACCCACCCATCCGTCGGCCATCCATCCGTCGACGACGGCCAGCAAGTCGACGGCCAGCACCAAGAAAGCGGGACCCAAGCGACCTCGAACTGCCTGTATGTCACACTCACACACACCCATGACACAGACAGACAGACAGAGACAGAGAGAGACAGACAGGCAGCTGATGGAGAGAGGTCTGCCTCATGTGTGGTGTGTCTCGTGTGTGTGTGTGTGTGTGTGTCATTGCAGACTTGTACTTCTCGATGGAGCGCAGGCCAGAGGTCAAGGAGGAGAACCCGACCATGGCATTTGGAGAGATTGCGAAGCTGTTGGGTGTGCAACAAATACCACATGCAACAAACACCAAAAACACCACACCCACGCCCCGTATGCGCCATGCATATGTGTGTGTATGTGCAGGTGCTGAGTGGAAGGAGATGTCGGACGAGGACAAGCAGCCGTACAAGGATCAGGTCACACACTCACACAGAGACGACATGACATCCATCCATCCATCCTCACTCTCCTCTGTCTCTCTGTCTCTCTGTCTGTCTGTGTGTGTCAGGCTGCTGAGGACAAGGAGCGCTACGAGCAGGAGAAGGCCGAGTGGGAGGAGCAGGAGGAGGAGCAAGACGACAACCAAGACGACAAGGCATGAGCCAAGGGCATGCACCACACACATGACCATCAACACGAGACGACAAGAGAGACACACCAATGAACTGACCATCGCACAAACAGACAGACAGAGAAGGACAATCCATGCATGCCTCATATGCATCGCTCTGCCCGTCTGAGTGATCGAGTGGCTGCGTGTGAGTGACCCGAGTGCGGGCAAACGACTGCATGTGTGTGTCGGTGTGACGCGTGTGCGCATGAATCCATCCATGGTTGTGACCTGGCTTGCATTTCGTCCAATGACATGGCCGTCAATTGACATCCACGCACCTGTCCGCACGCACTCAAGTTAAGGCCGACCACCGAACTCGAGATCTTAAAACAGCCGCACAGATGGACGGCTCATGCATGCAGTGCTATGCATGTGTGTCCGGGTGTGTGTGTCAGACACAGTGAGCATTGATATTGACATCCATGGTGACGGTGTGAGAGGCCTTTCTGCGGCATGGAGAGCGAGAAATGGGACAGAGACACGACCTATCCAGCATGTGCCTCGACATACGAATGTCGAGGCTGCTGACTCTTGGTGAGCACATTGCAATCAACGGGTCAAACAGCCTTCAACATTTTCGTATATATTTCCTGAGCCTGTCTGTCCTTCATCGCTTGATACGCCCATATTCCACCACTGAACCGTCACTCACCCAGAGCACATTCAAGCGAGGAAACGATCAGATCAAACTCACATGCACGACGTGTCTCTCAAACAGCGAGTAAACAAACTACCTCCTCTCCGGCAATCACTCACTCACAGGATGGCTGTCATGAAGTAGCCGATAAAGATGCAGGCAATGTAGATCTGCAGCAGACCGTACGCCAGCTCAAACCCGATCAAAAACCTTCAAGACACACAGGCCAGGCACACACAGAGACCAATGGATGCGTTGCATGAGAGATACAGCACAGCACACCATCTACAGTATCTATCTCTCTGTGTGGTCACTCCACTCACCCGAGCAGCGTGAGGTACATGGGCGCCAGAGTGGTGGCGAGGAGGACCTTGAGGATCTGGCTGAAGATGAACATCGACAGCGCCACACGGGACGACTGGAAGGTGAAGCGGAAGAAGTAGATGAAGATCCACCGGTACGCCAGCGCCCAGTTGATGATGAACGAGGCGAACTTCTGGATGTCGTGGTTGGGGATCAGCGGGATGCCCCCGCCGCCCCCGCCACCTGCCATGGGGGAGATGGCGGGGAAGCGGCTGCCCTGGTGCTGCAGTGTCGTCAGCAGCTGCTCGGTGCGGGCCGCCGCACGCTCGATCAGGTCGCCCTGGTGGCCGTTGTCGCCGCTGCCGGAGCCGAACAAGACCTGCATCAACACAAGGGGACATGTGCACCCCACCCCGGAGGGTTGCTGTGCTGTGCGTGGTGTGTGTGATGTAATTCATTACACACTTGTGCGGCTGAGAGGGCCTGCACGGGATACTCCACGCCATCGATGGAAACCGTCAGAGGGATGCTGCAAGGCAAGCACAACACGGCGATGGATGAGTACTTGCTGTACTGTATGCAGCTTAGCTTTTGAAGGAGTGCGGTGCAGTCCAATTGCTATCGTCTTACTTTCCGTTGAGGTAGTGTGCGTATCTCTTGGACAGGTTTCTGAGGGCGTCGGGGGCTGCCAGGGCCTCGCACGCAGCCGTCTGCTTCAGGTGGCACGTCAACTGCATGCCCTCACCGCCACCCTCAACATGGGGCCTGATCAGCAACAGATCAGCAGCCATGTCTTCGCTCTCTGTCTGTCTGTGTGTCAGTCATGCGATGCTCACTCGACTGTGTATTGTCCTGATTTGTCTGCAGTGAGCTTCCAGCCATGTGGGAAGTCAGGGTCAGTGCAGCCAGCTGGGCGACTGACGATCTGCAGACAGACAGGCACAGCGCACAGCCATGGATGAGCTCTTGCCTATGCCGTGACACGTTCCTGCCAGGCTCGCCTGTCTGACTGACCTCGATCTTATCGGCAATGGCGAAAGCCGAGTGGAGACCCAAGGTCAGCTGAACACAACACGAGCATCAAACAAGCCATCACCCAGACATGAGAGATTGAAGAAGCGCGTTGGTCCATCCATCCGTGTGTGTTATGTCACCTGTTCTGTAAGTGCCGTGGCGTTGACGCATTTGGTGGTCAGGTTGGTGAGGCGGTCCTTCATCGATGACCACGGCAGGCCCGCACCACGCACCTTGTGGACCGACCAGCCACACACCACCACACCACACCCGATGCAATCAATCAATGGTACTGCTGGGTCGGATCCTGTGTGTGTGCGACTGAGTCGGTGACGTGACGTGACGCACCTCCAGGTTGAGTGTCTGCGGCTGCTGTGTGGCGGCCGTGTTGGTCGCGCTCACGCTGACCTTCAAACCGCCGCGGGTGTACAGACCAAATGTGTCACCGGTCACTGCACAACACAGACAGACCCATCCACTTCCAGTTCAGGGGAGCCGAGCCAGTCGTGCGCGACGCGATGGATGTACCTTCCATGCCTCCATCGTCGTTACCTTTGTTTCGCGTGGCTTCGACAATCCAGCCATTCGCCTCCCGAAACAGCTCACGAAAGACATTCTGACACAACACACACACACACATCCATCCATCCATCGTCCCGACATCTCTCTCATCCCCCGCCCACCTGTCGCTGAGGGTTGCGGCCACTTGCCACAATGCCGATCAGCTTCCTCGTCTCATGAGGCACAGACATACCACTGCCAACGCTAGAGCTGCTGCTGCTGATAGAAGGAGGAGGCGATGGGCTGCCGCCGCTCGAAGGCGAGTGCAGCAGCCGCGCCCCCCAGGAGCAGCCCACCGCCCTTGCAGCGTTCAGCGCATCCTGCGCGGGCAGCCGCCTCACCAGCACTGCCGACGGGTGCGACGATGCCGTGACACCGATCTGCCTGCACCAAGCAAACGAACACAAGAGCGTCAGATCTCGGTGTTTTGCAGACTTGCACACTCAAGGTGTACCTCGCCAGCTGTCGTGGCAGCATCTCTCCCTTCCTCCCTTTCGCTGATTAGCTCGCAGATCTGCGCAGCTGAGCTCGCAAGGGCCTCTCCGACAAGGCGCAGAAGAAGCGTTGAAGGGTGGGCTGAGCAGCACTGGCTCACGCCGCCGTGCAAATCGCAGCTGTTCCAGTATGCTTATGGGCCCTGTGTCCGATGTGGCGGATGAAGTGAACTCGCACGGGCGGCGCGACGATTCCTTCTTCACCTGTTGTGACATTGTCAGCATGAGCAAGAGCATCAGCGGCGGCGCGGACCGCTACATGCCGATTTCCTCTAACATAGCCGAGGGAGAAAGCTTCACCGCCGCAGACGAGTGGCAGCATCCACGGACAGGTGAGCCAGGGAGCAAGGAAACCAAATGTTGACCTTGCGCATGAGAGGCATTGCTGGCTCTCGTGCGCATTGCAGGTGCGTCGGCTCATCGGCCCTCCCCTCACGGGGACGCGCTGCTCCCGATGAGCGGGACCATCGACGCTGAAGGCATCCACCTCACCCGCTCGGCGCACCAGTCGCCCTCCAACCGGCTCAACTTCATCTCCATGCCCGTGCCCAACACGGCCCCGCCGTCCGCCCCATCGTCGATGAGGTGTCTGCCTTCCATCCGCAAGTGTCTGCCATCGGTGAGGAGACGACACCGCAACCGCGAGCGGCTCTTCCAAAGGCAGCTCACCGACGGAGATGACGGCTTTCTCGGCGTGGAGGATGACAACGACGAGTACTGCATCAGCGAGGGAGGCGGCAGTGGCAGCCCCTATGCGCTGATGGATGCCGATGCGGATACGTCGCTGCCCGTGGGATTTCCGCCGAAGTCGCTGAGTGACAGCCCTTCCGGCGCCGAAGAGCACACGCCCACCGCACGCACCGCGGTGAAAAGGGCAGGCTGGTCGCGCGCGTGGAAGGACCGTCTGACCCTCTCGCGCAAGGCCAAAGGCACCGCCTCGACCACGGACCGGTCGCCGAAGCGCCACCCCCGCCACCTGCACCCTCCCCCATCGCCCCCAGCCGTCCCCTTCCCGCCCCCATCATCCACACACGAACACGTCAACCAAGCTGCAGCAGCAGCAGCAAGCGGCATCTGCAACCACGCGGCTGACGACCAGGACGCCGCCAAGGGGGGCGGGAGTGGGGGCGCGAGCCCCAGCGACAAGAGGGCCGAGAACGACGATGCTGCCAAGAGGGGAGGGGGAGGGGGAGGCAAGAAAGACAGTGACCCCAACAACAATAGAGACAACGACCTCCCAGGTGGCGGCGGCGGTGGGCCGGAGGAGGGCGGCGAGGGTGGGGGAGGGGGAGGGGGTGACGACAACAACGGTGAGGAGGAGTCGTCCGCTTCGGAGGATGACGAGTTTGTGGACTGTGAGGAGGAGGAGGATGAGAACGAGGAGGAGGATGACGACCCCGACCCCGACGTGCAGCAGGCCGCCTTCGGGGCCGCTCTGAATGGCAAGGGCGCCGTGGATGGCGCCACGGGGGAGGATTGGCACGGCTACCTGCCGGCGCATCTGCGGGAGAGGGATCGCATCCCGAGGAGAAGGGCGCTGGCGGCACAGAAGGGCGAGTTCAAGCTGTCCCTTTGGAGCCTGCTCAAGGTAGGAAGCAGTGGGTCGTTGCAAGCTCACATACAGATGTACAGGCGATTGTTTGGTGTGTGGTGTGGTGTGTGCATCAGGACACTGTTGGCAAGGATTTGTCTCGCATTAGTATGCCCGTGACGCTCAACGAGCCGCTCAGCTTCCTGCAGGCACGCACCGCACAGAACATAACACAAATATATAAACGAAAACCACATACATCACAACAACACATCTGTCTGTCTCTGTCTGTCTGTCTCTGTCGTTGCCGTCAGCGTTTGGCCGAGGACGTGCAGTACCATTCCCTGCTGACGGCTGCGGCCAAGCAGACGTGCCCGCTGAAGCGGCTCGCACACGTGGCGGTGTTCGCATGCACCCCGTATGCCACGTCAGTCAAGCGTCTGCAGAAACCTTTCAACCCCATTCTAGGTCAATCAGTCACCCCCACCCCGCCAGCACACACACGGGCAAGGCAGGGAGTCTCCTATGTTATGTGTGTGGTGGTGTGTGTGGTGTGGTGTGGTGTGGTGTGCAGGTGAGACGTACGAGGTGAGCCATCTGGGGTACCGCATGATCGCAGAGCAGGTGTCGCACCACCCGCCCGTATCGGCCTACCACGTCATCGACGACAACCACAACTTCACTCTTTGGGGGTCATGCCACGGCAAAATCAAATTCACCGGCACGACCGTCGAAGTCAAAGTCGCCGGTAAGCTTAGCTAGTGGGCAAGGGATGGATTCGACGAACGAACGAATGGATGGATGGATGGATGAGGACGTGTTTGTGTGTGTTTGTGTGTGTGTGTGTGTCAGGTTGGGTGCGTCTGCGGCTGCGGACGTGTGACGGTTGGGAGGAGTACGTCTGGGGGCGGCCCATCACTGTCGTGCACAACATCATCTTCGGTCGGTCGGCTGCTCTCCTCAAGAGAGGAATGCTCTCACTGCAGCACACATCATATCTATCTTATCTAGGCGTGTACCTACCGTGCGTGTGTCTGTCTTGTGTGTTGTGTTGTGTTGTGGTGCGTTGTGTTCGTTGTTTTGTCGCACTTAACTGCAGGTGGGCTGTGGATGGAGTGGGTTGGCATGGTGTCGGTGCGTAACTGCACGCGAAGACAGACCGCCATGCTCGAGTTCATGCGACGCACAGGCGGCATGTTCACCAAAGCATCACCCCTACACCAACTGAGGTAACTAACGGTAGTTGACACCTACCTACTCACACACACCAATCACCCAACACACACTCTCTCTCTCGTGTGTCACGTCACCCACCATCACAGAGGCGAGGTCCGCGACGAGACGGGCACCCCCCACTACGTGGTGGGCGGCTGCTGGAGCCAGCACATCTGGGTGCAGACCGTCAACGCGCGACAGCCGTCCTCGCCAGACAGCGGCGGGTCCAACCGCCCCTATGACGTCTCGTACGACCCCCCGACCACCGGCCTGCAGCGGCTGGACGGCGTCCACCACCACCACGACCACGAGGCGCATGCGGGGCCCAGCACGGCGCTGCTGCACTGTGGCAAGAGCGACGACTCCTTCGCCAATCTCGACGACTCACCGCCCGTGTCGCCATCAGGCCTCCGCTCCAAACACAAACTCACCGGTCGGTGAGGGGAGGGAGGGGAGAGGGGAGAGCACGCAACGGGCACTCACTGACCCTCTCTCCCTCTGTCCCTCTGTGTGTACGTCCGTGTGTGGATCAGTGTGTCTGGAGCAGAACTCCCCCTCCCCCGACCCCCGTGACACATTGGTGGAGTGGCGTCCAGCGGCGGACCCCCCCAACTCGTGTGCGTACTTCAACTTCACGTCTGTGGCGATGGAGCTCAACGAGGTGAGCCCCGACTACGACCCCAAAGAGGGCGTCCCCGTGCCCATCACCGACTCACGATTCAGAACCGACCAGGTGAGTCGGTGTGGGGTGCAGAGATGGACAGTAAAACCGCCTGTGCGTGGCTGGCTCGCTTAGTGATTGATCTCTCCTCCTTACTCTTTTGTGTGTGCTGGCTGGCTGGCTGTTTGTGTGTGTCAGCGGTTGTATGAGGAGGGTCGTGTAAATGAGGCCCAGGCGGAGAAGAGGCGGTTGGAGGAAAAGCAGCGGGCGGCCAGGAAGGCACGCATCGATGAGTGGCAGCCAAGGTCAGGGAGGGAGGGAGGAAGCAAGCACCCCACTATCCCAAAACCACCCAATCGACGGATGCATGTGCCGTCCGTGTGTCTGTCACGGTGTCCGTGTAGGTGGTTCGAGCGTCGTTTGGACCCGATAGTGAGCAAGAAGGAGCCCACCTGGCAGCTGCGGCAGACTCCCTCCTACTGGGACAAGAAGAGGGACTACGCCGACCTGCTCATGCGCAGCCAGGCCCCCAACACCAACAGACACGCCACGATGGGGCACGGCCAGGGCGGTGTTTTTCCCGAAGCCCCCGACCTTTTCTAGATGGATGGGGGGAGGGGAGAGTAGCTAGGGTAGCTAGCTAGCAGCAGGCACGGTCGTGGGGCACATTACATTGTCATGTGTTCGTGTGTTGTGTGGGGGGTGGGAAGTGGGTATTGGTTGCCCTGGGCGGGGTGAATACGATTGGTGGGGGCATTTTTGATATGAGAGTTGCTTGGTTCTTCAATCAATTGAGTGCTCTGAAAGCGGGGGCGGCTTTGAAGCCCGCCCGAATAGGGAGAGATGGCGGCCAGGGCAGGAGGGGAGCGGAGGGAGGGATGGTCATCATCGAGATGATGACTGTCGCTTGCTGACCGTCTGACCGACCGACCGACCGACTGACGGTCTCGGTTGGTTGGTTGGTTGGTTTGTTTGTTTGTTGCTCGCTCGTGTCGTGTGCTGTTTGCTAGTATTCTTGCTGTGGGGTCTCTCTCTCTCTCTCTCTCTCTGTGTGTGTGTGTGTGTGTCTTGGTGTGCCTGCATCTGGCTGTATGTCTGTGGAGGAAAGAGCCTACTAAGTATGGACGGCTTGTCCAGACCGGCTGGGTGGCTGGATGGTTGATGAAGTGATGAAATAACTGATGGATTGACCGAATTGGCCAACAGCGAGCGGACGGCATTCCAACCGGTGTGGTGTCACGTGACCGCTTAGCTTACCTGCCTGTCAGGCAGGCTTGGTCTCTCTGTATTGCAGCTATGTCGGAATGCCACGGCCTGCCTGTGTGCCTGCCTGTGTGGGTGCAGTGCTGCCCTCAGTGTGTTGAGCAGCCCGGTGTGTGAGGCTGGCGTGTCTGCAGAGTGGTGCGATCGCATCGCGTGCAGGCCCAGCCCACCTCACATGAGAGCTGGACACACACAGGGGTATGCGTATGTAGCACACACCGAGAGATGTTGGTTGGGGAAATGAGAGAACTTTGTGAGAAGTGACTGACCCAGATCAGACAGACACCGACCGGATCAGAGAGAGAGACAGAGACAGAGACGAGACTCACCAGCGACCGAGCCGATGGAAATCCGCGTGTGTGTGTACAGTATTTGTGCGAACGCTTCACATGTGTTTGTCTGTCCGTGTCCGTGTCCCTGTCTGTGTCTGCCTGGGTGCTGGCTACACGTGTCGATGGATGGATGGATCGTGCAATGGATGGCTTGAATGAACTCAATGAATGCTCGCTCGCTTGACTGACCAATCGATCGCGTTGCGTCTGTCTACACGGACCCACACACAGCAAGCGCAAAATCCATGGACAAGCCATCACGCCCTCGACGGTCTCACGTAACCTGGTATGAGAGCCTGCACGACATGCGCCGGGCGGGCCAGAGAGAGTGGCCTTGGAGCCACACAGCCAGTGATAGATGCGCACATGGCCTCTGCAAGACGGGACACGCAACGTGCTTGTGGATTTGGTGACGTGAGCGACTGTGCGACTGCTGGGTGCGCTCGAGACGTATATATGGGACTTCTTTCCTCCATGGACTGATCAGATTCTCACAACAAAGGTGCCAACCAACACGGTGGGTGTTGTTGGAAAGCTGTGCGATTGATGGCGTAGGTAGGTATGTCTTGACACACAAACACATACGCGGTCGGTCACTCATCTGTACACACAGCCACACACACACACACCGCACACTCACAGACGAGACACGAACATTGGTGCGCTCTGCTGCTGCTGCTGCTGCCCGTGGTGAGAAAGCTCGGACACACGATGCGTCAGAGCCCCCAAAGAGGCGCGCAGGCAGCACACCCATGAACACCCCACACGCTTACTGCCTGCCCTGTCCTGCCTGCCTCCCGCGTCTCCCTGTGTGTCTCTCTCTGTCTGTGTCTCGGTGTGTCTTGTGTGTGAGAGGTGCCTGGAAAAGGCCATACATATGTGGCGTGTGGGCATGGTCCCTTTGGCCTCTACGTGGATGCAGGCAGGCAGAGAAAACACGCATTCGCACAGCACACGTCTGAGAGTGAGTAGGGCCTACCTATACAGAGCCCCCCCCCTCCCGCCCCCTCCCGCCCCCTCCCGCCCTCCCCCCTCACCCACCACACCACACAGAGAGAGAGGTCCCTAACAAGCAAGGCAGGGCTCATATCGTAGTGGATGTATCGCCCGACTGCGTAAGGCCCATGGAATGGTATGGTATGGTATGGTATGTTGTGTTGTGGGTGGTGGGTGTGATGTGTGTCGGACGGATAACTGTGGGTGTGATGCCTTCGAGTCGAATTCTTATCCAGCATTCCATTCCTAATGAGCTAGAAAATGGGCCAAATGGGCAGTAGGCAGAAGAGCACCACCCGCCCGTCCGTCAGAAGAACCAAGAACCAACCAGCGCTGGATCGAGCCGGCGCCCCTCCCTCCCTCCATCATATGTGTGTATGTGTATCCGCCTGCCTCTCCAATATCTTCTTGCTACATCTCTATCCCTCGCCAAATCCATCCATCCACCCACCACATCAGCCGGCCCTGGCCCTCTCGCCGTCAGAGACACACTCCTCCAGAGGCACCCAGTCCACTTGCGGGTCGGAGTGGTCCACACGCCTCACATCCCACCGACCGGCCCCGCTGCTGCCGCGGCCCCTCTTGCTGGTGGTCTTGGTCTTGGTCTTGCCCCCCTTGCCCTTGCGTTTGTTGATCTTCTTGGGTGGGATGACGCCCCCCGCCAGCACGCACAGCATCTTCTGCACGGGTGTCCTTGGCTCGTGCATGTGGGGGGTGTCCTCGAGAAGCAACTTGGCGAACCCCACGGCCGGCCTGACCACGGGAGTGTAGTTGTCCAGCGTGTAGGACGTCATGATCACGGCAGCGTCCTCACCATCACCATCCCCACCACCGACAGTCGTCACCACCGTCGCACCAAGCGCATTGAGAGCCGAGAATGGCGCCAGCATGTGGTCGCTTGACCCACCGCCAGACATCAGTGGCCATGACGACGGCGACGCGCCCTCGTCATTGTCATTGGCAGCTGATGAGTCGATGGGCGATGTGGAGGTAGTGGTCTTGTGTTTGGGGGGTGTGAGGGGGGCGTGGCGGGGCGGGGGGGTGCATGGGGGAGAGGCAGAGGGAGAGGGAGGTGCCGGGGGAGGGATCGGTGAGGGTGGCGGGTGTTGGTAGGGGGCGGGGACCATTTTGTTGGCGGAGGGAGACGACCGCCACCACACCTGCTCGTGAGACTGACAGGAAGACAGACACAGAAGGAGAAATGCAGACGGACAGACGGATGGATGGATGGATGGTGAGGGAAATCATCTATTTATACGCACCCCTTGGCAGCATGTCTGTCCGTCCACACTGACGAGTCCATCCCGGACCAGGCCGTGGAACAGAGCCAGCGCCGGACTCTCGCCACGATCCGCACTCTCAAAACCTACACAGACAGACGCATGCATGCATGCGACAAAGACACACACATGCATGGCATGACCGGATGTCAGTCATCCGTGTCTCTGTGTGCATGCATTACTCTACTTAGTGCTCACCTGGCGGAGGGAAGACCACCCCAGTGCCCTTAGTGCTGCCGCTGCTGCCGCCGTTGGCCCCACTGACACTGACGAGTGCGGGCGGGTACATCTGGCCGGCAGAGGCACGTGTGTCGTCACCCTTGCCCTTGCCCTTCTTATTGTTGTCCTTCAGTGCCGCTGTGTCGGTGCGGTCGGCTGGCGGCACTTTGCTGCCCTTGTTGCCGCTCGTCTGTGGAGGCGACTTGTCGGGCGTGTCGTCGAGGAGGGCGCCGGGGATGCACTGACGCGCGCTGCCGCTGCTAGAGCGACCATCCCTGCAAACATGGATGGATGCAGGCAAACAGCCAGGAGGCAGTAGGTGTGGTCTCACTTGGTAGGTGAGTCGTTAGTGTCGTCGTGCTGCTCCTTATGCTCGTGGCTATCGCCGGCCGTGACCCCGAGACCCACACCCACACCCCCACTCACGTTCGCAACTACCTCGCCCCCCGCGCCCTCCTCCATGACCACGTCCAGGCCGCACACGCCGCCACCCGCAGGTACGCTACGCTCGCCGTCAACAGACCCACTGCACGCAGCAGGAGAGAATGGGAAGGAGAGGCCACATTTGTGTGTGGGGTGTACCTGGTAGAGGTGGTGGGGTGTAGGTGATTGTCTTGGTTGGTGTGTGTGGGTCGCTGCTTGGTGGTGCTCGTGGTGGCAACGGCGGCCTGGCGGCGCATCTTCTTGCGCCGCTCCTTCTCCTCCTTAGTGATGACGGTCTTGTCACGCAGCTCATCCTCACCATGGGCGAAGGCACACTGTGTGTGAACACACACAGAGGCATCCACCAATCCAATCCAAGCGTGTGGCGTTTGTAGTGCGCACCCACCTCCCACCCCCACCTGGTCTCCGTGTGCACATGTGCCGTCCTTCCAGTTGCGGCACAGCTCCGTCTTGAACTTGGCCAACATGTCCCACCGCCTGAATCCACACACACACACACACACACAGAGAGAGAGAGAGAAGATACCACACATTGTGAGCAGGGGTGAAAATGTGTGTGGGGTCTTCTTGTTTGTTCCCTGCTCACACAGATTTTCCTCCCCTTCCCCTCCGTCGAGTCGCTGTCCTCACGCGAAGACCTGGCGCGAGGAGCCAGCGCCCTTTCACCCACCCAAAGCACAGCACACAGCAAACGACGCGTGTGGCTAAGTCCACCACGACCCATCCCCCCTCACTCACCCCATCCCTCACCTGTTAGCGGCCGCATCTCCTTCCGACCTGTTGGTGGCACTGGCCGACGAGGCGACGCTCACGCTCACATACTCCTTAGGCAGATACTTGACCGTCCTCGTGCTGCTGCTGGCACTGGCACGGCCGTCAGCGGCACTGGTGCTGCTGCGGATCTCTGTGGATGTGTGTGTGGGGTGGGGAGCGGGAGGGGGGGAGGGGGAGGGGTTGCCGGCAGCGACAGAGCTGAAGGGCTCTCCTCTGGCCGGGTCACACGAACTGGGAGGAGGGAAGGAAAAACGGCGCGAGAGATGGCTTCTCCGAGACATGTTCACCCTTGTTCTCCTTGTTGCGTCTTTGCTGGCTGACCGTTGGTTAGATGCAGTGGAGGGGTTGCTGCTGCTGGCACGAGTGGTGGCTCCACTGGCAGATGAAAACAGGCTCGGAAACGCCTTGGCGTCGTTCAGACGCATCCACACGCTGCATGAGAACCACCCACAGCCAGAAAACAGCAAAGAAGACCTCAGATCTGGCATTGCATCACTGCAGCAGTGATGCCATGTATGTCATCGTTCCCACCTGTCCTTATGTGTCTTGCTGCGCCGGTGGTGTGCCGCCTTGGCGCTGGTGCGACGGCCGGATGGACCACTCATGGGGTGCACGGCCGCACAGAGAGGTGAGGTAGAACAGAAGGGGCTTCCTGACAGGCCCACGCTTATGGATTAGACTCCCCTCCTGCAATGCCTCAGGACTGCCCCGGGGGAGCGGAAAGAGGGATGCCGAAAGCGCGGGGAATTATGTAAATTCCATCTCCTCTTGCGAGCTTGATCCCGTCTTTTCTTTTCGTAATGCAGCGAGATCTTCAGATCTGGCCACCGTCCCGCTGGTGGTTGCTCCTCCTGCTGTCGGCGCGTGCCGTGATTATCGCCCTCGTCGCCGGTCAGGCGACCCTGCCGCCAATCGAGGACAACGAAAGCGACAGCGACAGCGACGTGCTTGTCATTGATGACAGTGAGAATGGCGTCACATCGCCAGCAGCAGCAGCAGCTGTGGCGGAGGTGGAGGTGCAGAGGCGACGGGCGCCGACGGATCTGCACGGTGACGGCAGTCACAATGCAACGAAGAAGGAGGTCCCGTGGACCTCCCTCAGCGAGGCGGACCTCAACACAATCATGCTTGTCGACAAGGGCAACGTGCAGGTGAGAGAAATACACACCCACATACCTACACACACACATCCGCAGTGCTCATCTGCAGTCAGTGCGTCCATCTCTCTCTCTCTCTGCGTGTGTGTGCGTTGGCCACATCACAAACATCCGTCAGTATTACGGCACCGTACAGATCGGCACGCCCGCACAGTCCATGACCGTCATCTTTGACACCGGATCCAGTGACCTCTGGGTGGCCTCGCCCGAGTGCGTGCCCACACCTTGCGAGATGGTCAAGCAGTTTGACCCCACCGCCTCCTCGACCTTTGAGGACTTCAGTGAGGGCACGATTGTTGTGCAGTATGGCAAAGGCACCATTGTGGGCATCAAGGCCATCGACCGAGTGCGGCTGGGCACGTACGCCGCGCCGCAGGAGTTCATTCTGGCTTCCAAGGTCAACGGGCTACAAGGTGAGTGACTGAAGTGGTGTGATGGCAATGAAGCCAGGCTGGCCTTGGCATTCGTTGGCTGACTGATGCACACTCAGGCGCCCAGTTTGATGGCATATTGGGGTTGGCATTCCCCTCCCTGGCAGAGAGCGGGGCGATGCCTCTCGTCTTCTCCCTTGACGGGCAAGGCCTGCTCAACGAACCACTCATCGGCGGTGCATCACACACGTCGTTCCATTCCCTACATCATCTCTCTGTGTCTGTCGGCGTGTCCCGTCCGTTCATTCAGTCGACCTGAGTGCCGAGGAGACGCCCAGCAAGATCAGCATCGGCGGCACGGCAACGGGCGTGTACAATGCCTCCACAGTGTCGTTTGCCCCGGTGGTGGTGACGGACGAGGCACCGACGTACTGGCAGGTCAATGGGGCTGTCGCCTTCGGTGAGGATGTGTTTGCCGAGGGTCTTGTGATGGTTGTGGACACGGGGACGTCTTTCATCACCATGCCCAAGAAGCAGCTCATGGTATGTATGGTGAGGGAGGGAAGGAAGGGGAATTGCATTGGGCACATGACATGACATGAATGTGATGGGATCGGATCTATGTGTGCTGGTCGGTTTGGTGGTCAGGATTTCCTGTCTGCGTGGGTGCCTGACGACCTGGGCGGCGACTGTGGAGTCAGCAGCGGGGGCGCCATCACGTGCAGATGCTCGGTTGTGGGCCAGCTGTCACCCGTGTCAATCATCATCGGTACGCAGGGGGGGGGGGGG